TTAGAACACAGCTTAAGGAGACTGTGCCATCGATTGTTAGGCTTTGTTTTCAAAAGACAGAGGGAGAAATACTGTGTCACGGCAGACTTGAAAACTTTCAGTTTGATGTTTAGTTCACTAAGAAATAATGGTTGAAATCTCTGTTCTTCCTTGTATGCTTAGAGGAAAACAGAAAAACAAAAAAGAGAGAAAACAAATCCTGCAAGACAGGCACCGCGTTTGATTTAGAAATGCATGACCTAGAGATTTAAGTTTGAGGACAGTTTGTACATTCTGATCCTCGATTTATACAACTGAAACTGAGGACAGTAAATAATTTCATTTCATCTAACAGTTCGAATTGATTATCAAGACTCTCTGGACTGTGAGGAATTATGAGGTAAACTCCAAGGGTTGGGGCTGGGACCCCGTGGTCATTGATGATTGTCTGTCATGCTGCAGAAGAGGAGAGTGGTGGAAACTGGGTCCTTACTGGACAACTGTACATCAGGCTAGGAAATCTCCTAATTTGTTTAATCATGAGTGTTTAGAGAAAGAGTTCTTTGTATTCCTGAGAGTCTGAGGGCAGAAGCTGAAATGGGCATAGAACATATAGAAAAGGTGATGCTTTTCCATCTAAAGGAGAGATGAAGGAATAATACAAGCAATTTTGTTATGATCTACCAAACTAAGGTTTCATTATGTTTTCCCCTCATTGTGGAAGGCACTGTTGGGTTGGCAATTTGCACCACTACCTTATATAATTTAGTCCTGGAGTATGTGCCAAGAACTTTATAATGAAACCCTGGTTCCTAACTATAGGATATATTTTTGAAGTGAAGGTCTAGACAATTTCAGTAACTGGCCCAGAGTACGAGGTTGAGAAGGGAAGGAGCTTTAGTTCCTAGGCTCCTCAACCACTACCTACCATGCTGGGCTGACATTGCATTCCTTGCTTGTCCCTAGCAGTCACCTACTCAGTGCTCCTGGCTAAGAGTGAGATCCTTTTCTCCTTTGGCCCTCAACATCCATTGGTGACCAGCAAACAGTGCCAGCTATGTCTACAGATCGGGGGGACATGCAGTGTAGAGAGTCAGGTAGTTGTGTGGTTCATTGGTCAGGGCCTGCCCAACAAAGTCCATATGTCAGGGTAAGAACCTGGGTCCCCAGCTGCTATACTTCTGTTTTCTCAAGTAAGTCCTTAGAGGCCCATGTCTTTTGAGCTCAGTTTATTACAGAGCAGAAAGCCACACACACAGTCTTCAAATTGTTCAGGCTTTTCTAGTTTTAATTCAACTTAACACTCATTGATTAACTGAATGCTTACCAAATGCAAGACACTTTGCTAGGAGTCAGACAAGGGTTCTAGCTTCAGCCCTGCATAGTTATTTTGCTGTCAGAAGTCTCTGCTTCCACTCCAGTTGAATGAGAATCCTGAGCTCAAGTAAACCCTCTAAATTCCTTTCTTAATCTAAAGCTTTATGGCTTTATGAAAAGAACGCTTGAAAAAGGAGGCTTGGTTTCAGATTTGATGTGTTAAAATATGATAATTTTATTGTTTCTTCATTCAAAAATATTTTTTTGAGTACCAACTAATGTGTAATGAACAAGACAAAGCCCTTGACCTCACAGAGTCTATAGTCTACTTGGGGGCAACAATGAAAAGACTTAACAGTAAATGCAAAATAAAATGTACCAGATGCGCTATGAAGACATAAGGCAAAATAAGGAGAGAAAGGGAGAATGACCAGGGAAAGCCCCTCTGACTGATGTGGGGAGAGGGCTATGTGAGGTCTGGAGAGAGTACTGGGCAGAGATATGTACAAACGTGAGGGCTCTGGGGGAGGGCAGGCTTGGCACACTTGAGGAATAGCAAAGGGGCACTTAGGTAAATAGTTTACTCATCGCTACATGCAACCCACTCATCTGAGGAGCCTAGAAGAGTACCCTCAAGGAGACTGTAGTTGGTGAATGACTCGCTTTGTGCCAGGCACTATCCTAGGTGTCAGAGGGCACAGAGATGGGAAGTAGACACCACCTGTGTGTGAGAAGTTCACGTTTTAACGAACAGTTAGGAATGCAGGGATAAAAGACCAATATGATGAAAGAAGCACTGAGAGTAAAATTATGGCTGAGGGCGATGGGAACTCAACAGAGAAGGCTGAGCTCAACATTTCAGGTGGGTCTTGCAGGATAAACGGGGAATTGGATAGGCTGGGGATCAGGGACTGGAGGTTGCAAGGGCAGGAACACATGGAAATATAAGACATGACTGGGAAATAATGAGTCAAGGTCCAGGTTGGCAAAGCACAGGGCAACAAGACTTTATTGTCAATAAAACCAGAATGGCTTTTGTGTCTCATCTGCTTTGATGTGATTGTCATGTTTGGACTATATTCTGTACACCAGTGGTCCACAATATTCATTCTTAAGGACTCTCTTTTAATATTTTATTTCCTATAGCTTGCATGTCTTTATAGATTTGTTTTTTGTCCCCCCAAATATTGCAATTAGTAAGAAGTAACTAAAGAAGTAACTAATTTGTTTCCCCATTCAAAAAAGTCATCCAACCCTTATGACTTCCAATGAGAGCCACAGATAAGCATGGAATATAGCATGTTACTATACTGAGTTGATCAAATTAGTCCCATGCCCCAACCTGACTGCAAGGGATGCTGGAATATATGGGGATACACAAGGAATATTTGTTAATCACTAACTACCTCTGCTACATAAAGGTATAAAGGTACATTTTGTCCCTGGATTCTTGAAGTTCAGAGGAGTCTTCAGTTGAGAATTCTACACTTTAAGAAGCATAGGAGTGACAAGATTGGTTTGTTTTCCAGGAAGATCACTCAGGTGGAAGGTCAGACAATGGGCTGCCTGGGTAGACTGGAGGCAGGAGGACCAGTTGGGAAGTTCTTAATGCTCCAAATAAGAGAGGAGGAAGGCCTGACTCAACACATTGGTAGTGGAATGGATCAGGGAACAGACTCAAAAAAGAGTTCTAGGATTAAAATTCCCCAGTGTTGATGCCATGCATGGGAATGAGGTGTCAGAGTTGATTCTTGGGTTCCTAGGCTGAATGATTCAAAGGCACTGTGATGACTACAGCATGAGTCAGCAAGAGAGGCAGGGCCAGGCAGGCAGGACCCTCTTCCCAGGGTGCAGGAATAATGGTTGTCAGTTATTCTTCTTTCCTTTCGGACCTGATAATTTGCCATACTCCTTTCCCAGCCCAGAAAACACAGGTCTGAGTCACAGCAGTGGGAATGCAAAAGTCAAGACGCCCGAGTAAGGGGAGACCTGACTGGAAGTTTTGGATCCAACCCAGGCATCAAAAGCGATCTTAGCTCTACACATCTAGGCGTAGGTGCTCTGTTGAGTGCCTGGGCCAAAAGCACTTACAACAGCCACCATGGCCATCCCCTGGTGCTCCCTCTTCTCTTTCATTCACTTTCCTTTATCAAGTTTCTTCTTTCTGGACTCTCCCCCCTTGTCCCTGCTGACCATGCCAATTGGCACCAAGCATTATAGCAATCCCTTCAATCACTCTGGGAATACTGTAATCAAATGTATTCATGTACTTATTCAGAAATCCAGTCTGTTCTATCTCCCATTAGATGGTAGCCTCACCTGTAAGAGACCATGCCTTCCTAACTGCTGCAAAATAGAACTTGTCTCACCCCTTTCAATAAAGGGGCTATACCCATTAACAAAGTTAGCTTACTCTGGACATCAGAACCCTGAATGCAAAAATCAACTGCATTTCTTCTCTTGAAGCATCTTCTTCTTAGCAGAATCTGCATGTTAGGGTTTCTTTGAACTTCATATAGGCAATTTAAAAAATTGAGATAAATTGGAACCATACTTAGAAACAAACTCTGCCCAGTTTACTCAAAGTCCATTTTGTTTACTCAATATGATGAACTATGAGTAACACATAATACAACGTAATGCTATAGCCACAGTGTGGGACCATTATGATGGAAAGCATAAGAGAATGGGCTTGGGCATCAGGGAAAACTTGGTGCTTGGGTTCTAAATCCGCCATGTAGTGCATCTTACAGAGCTTCACTATCTTTATTGGCAAATGAGGGATCCTACAAGGCTAATGGCAGTAGCTGTGCTCAGCTTAAGCCTATGATATGTAGAGCACCTAGTGCAGGCCTTGAAGAGGAAGAAACACTCCACAGAAGGTAGCCAATGCTGCGATTATTCATCCATTCCCTTCCTGATGACATTATGGTGTAATCTGAAATGTTTCTGGCTTCCGTCTTATCTATGTCCTGTTTGCTTGTTATCACCCTGACCTTGTGTTCTTCACTGATCCTTATCCATGCCTCACACCCAACCTTAATGGGCTCATCACTTCCTAATCTTAGTATTAATTGTGAAGATTTGTCTGTATTTTGTTTGCTCAAAACTTGAACCTAAAAGTAGTCTACATCAACTGCATGTACATACAGATTGGGCTCTTTATGTTTCTATTTGCTGTTCTATAAGGCCAGGCAAATACTAGAGGAAAAACATGCTTCCAGTTCTCCCAGAGCTGCCTGGGAATATTTTGTGGTGGAGGAAGCAGAGCCAGAGAAATGTTTTCAGCTTGAAATAAATAATTATACTGCTCATAAATAAATTAATGTAAGGACTCAGCTTATGAATTATTTGTGTTAGCTACAGAGAAGCTGGGGTTAAAAACTGGACTATTGTTGCCTTGCTACATATTTGCTATTCAACCATTCTTCACCCATTTATATGTGTAGGAGCAGTGAGTACAAGGCTGTATGGTATGGGCAGCACTTAAGATTCTGTTCCACATATTTGGTATGTTCCTGATACAGTTTAGGTGTTCAAAGCTGCTCCATATAGCCTTTCAAGAAAAGGATCTGTAGAAATATATCAAAGCAAACAAATACATACCGACATGAAATGACACATTTCTTTCTACCTGGGCTTATATACAGTGTCTTGGCATCTTTGCAGTTCTTAGCGCTTTGATTTCCTTTTACCTCTTACAGATGTTTGACCAACATGTGGAAGTAACCAAGGCGAATCAAGAAGAAGAAATCTACATCTTGGGAGAGGCACTATGGTTGGAGAGTGGCTGGAATAGGAAAAATGTATATGGTGGAAGGGGGAAGGGGTGGGAAGCATGCTGAATTGTGTCTCCCCAAATTTCATATACTGAAGTCCTAACCCCCAATACCTCAGAATGTGACTGCATTTGGAGATAGGGTTTTTAAAGAGGTAATTAAGTTAAAAATGAACTCATTAAGATGGACTCTAATCCAATATGAATGATGTCCTTATAAGAAGAGGTGATTAGAACACAGAGGGAAGACCATGTGAAGACACAGCAAAAAGGTGGTCATCTATAAGCCTAGCAGAGAGACCTCAAAAGAGACTAACCTTGCTGACACCTTGATCTTGGACTTCCATCCTCCAGAATTGTGAGAAAATAAATTTCTGTTACTTAAGCCATCTAGTCTATGGTACATTTTCACAGCAGCCCTAGCAAACTAATGCACATCTCTTGCTGGTTTGTAGTCCCAAGTGAATATTTCACAAATAAAGAAGCTAGGCAATGCTGAGATAAATGGTTATGTATCTATAAAATATTGTGTGTAGGCATGTTGGTATTTTATACAGACCAGAAGTGCCCTATACCTTTATGCCTAAAATTATTATTCAAGTTTAAATTATTCAAGATCTTGGGGTTTAACTCATGCAGAATCATATTCTAAGACCCCTCTTTTAAAGAGATATTAAATGAGTAATTCTCAAACTCTTCCTTCTAGGTATTCATAAAAGCAGATTAGAAAAAAATGGATGTAGCAGTGAATTTGTCTGGAAAGGGAACCTGGAGTAACCCGACTTTCCTTAAAGTTAGGTTTGAGATATAATTTACATAATTAAAATTTTTATTGTATAATTGGTTGAATTTTTGCAAATACATTCAATCATGTAACAACTATCACAATGAAGGTAAAGGGTATTTTCATAATGCCCAAATTTCCTTATGCTCCTTTGCAGTCAATTTCCCTCCTCTCCTCCCTGCCCTTGGCAACCACTGAGCTAATTTGTACCCCTGTAATTTTGCCTTTTTCAAAATATAAATGGATGCATACAGTATGCAGCCTTTTGTGTCTGGATTTTTTTTCTTGTATTTTTGAAGGCCTGTTTTCCCCTTTTTTATTGGTACATAATAGTTGTACATATTTGTGGGGTACATGGATGTTTTCATACAAGCATACAATGTTCAATGCTCAAATCAGAGTAATTGGGATATCCATCACCTCAAACACTTATCTCTTCTTTGCATTGAGAAGATTCCCAATCTTCTAGCTACTTTGAAATTTACAACAAATTATGGTTAATTGTAGTTGCTCTACTGTGCTATCAAGCACTAGAACTTACTCCTTTTATTTAACTGTGTTAATGTACCTATTAACCAACCTCTCTTCATTCCCCTTTCCTCTCACCTTTCCAGCCTCTGGTAACCACTGTTCTGTTTACTACCTCCATGAGATCAATTATTTTTCACTCTCATATATGAGTGACAACACATAGTATTTGCATTTATGTGCCTGGCTTATTTCACATAACTTCTAGTTTCATCCATGTTGCTGCAAATGACAGGATTTCATCCTTTTTCATGGCCAAATAATATTCCACTATGTATATATACCACATTTTCTTCATCTATTCATCTGTTGATGTACACTTAGGCTGATTCCATGTCTTGACTATTGTGAATAGTGCTGCAACAAACATGGGAATGCAGATATCTCCTTCACATACTGATTACCTTTCTTTTGGGTAATACTCAGCAGTGGGATTGCTGGATCATATGGTAATTCTGTTTTTAGTTTTTTGAGGAATCTCCCTATTGTTTTTTGCAGATGTACTAGTTTGCATTCCCACCAATAGTGTAAAAGTGTTCCTCTTTGCATTCTTCAATTGAAATAAGGTGATATCTCATTACGGTTTTGATTTGCTTTTCTCTGACAACTAGTGATTTTGAATATTTTTTCATAGACCTGTTGGTCACTTGAATGTCTTCTTTTGAGAAATGTCTATTCACAACTTTTGCTCATTATAAAATCAGATTATTTGTTTTATTGCTGTTGAGTTGTTTGAGTTCTTTATATATTATGGTTATTAATTTCTTGTCAGATGGATAATTTGCACATTTTTTCCACTGTTCTGTAGGCTGTCTCTTCACTTTGTTAATTGTTTCCTTTGCTATGCAGAAGATTTTTAGCTTGATGCAATCCCATTTATCCATTTTTGCTTTTGTTGCCTATCCTTTTGGGTCTTAATAAAAAAAGAAAAATCTTTGCCCAGATAATGTTCTGAAATATTTTCCCAATGTTTTCTCCTAGGAGTTTTATGGTTTCAGGTCTTGCATTTAAGTTTTTAATTAATTTTAATTTGATTTTTGTATATGATTAGAGATAGAAGTCTAGTTTTATTTTTCTCTATATGGGTATCCTGTTTTCCTAGCACCATTTATTGAAGAGATAATAATTTCCCCAATGTATGTACTTGGCACCTTTGTTGAAAATTAGGTGGTGTAAATGCATGAGTTTATTTCTGGGTTTTCTATTCTGTTCCATTGGTTTATGTGTCTGTTTTTATGCCAGTACCATGCTGCTTTGGTTACTCTAACTTTGTAGTATATTTTGAAGTCAAATAGTATGATGCCTCCAACTTTGTGTTTTTGCTCAGGATTGGTTTAGCTATTCAGAGTTGATATGAATTTTTGGATTTTTTTCTATTTCTATGAACAATGTAATTGGTATTTGGATAGGGTTTGCATTGCATCTGTAGATTACTTTGGGTAGTCTGGACATTTTAACAATATTAGTTCTTCTAATCCATGAACATGGGCTATCTTTCCATTTTGAGGGGTGTATCATCTTCAATTTCTTTCATCAGTGCTTTATATTTTTCCTTGTAGAAATCTTTCTCTTCTTTGGGCTGGGCATGGTGGTTCACACCTGTAATCTTAAGCATTTTGTGAGGCTGAGGTGGGTGGATCACTTGAGGTCAAGAGTCTGAGACCAGCCTGGACACATGGTAAAACTCTCTCTCTACTAAAAATACAAAAAATAGCTGGTGTGCTGGCAGGTGCCTGTAATCCCAGCTACTTGGGAGGCTGAGGCAGGGGAATAGCTTGAACCCAGGAGACAGAGATTACAGTGAGCCGAGATTGTGTCACTGCACTCCAGCCTGGATGACAGAGAGAGACTCCATCTTAAAAAAAAATTATGTCTCTTCTTTGCTTAATTTTATTCCTAGTGATTTTATTTTTTCCTAGTTACTATAAATGGGATTGGTTTCTTGATTTATTTTTTTTTTCAGATTATTCACTGTTGGTTTATGGGAATTGCTACTGATTTTTGTATCTGATTTTGTATGCTGCAAATTTACTTAGGTTATCAGCTCTAACAGTTTTTTGGTGGAGTCTTTAGTTCTTGTCTAAATATAAGATCATTTTATCTGTAAACAAGGACAATTTGACTTCTTTCCAGTTTGGATGTTCTTTTTTTTAAATCTTATCTAAAAGAGATTTGTTCTATGATTCTAGAAAGTATTTGAATTTTATACTCAATTCTGACATATATGCAATATATATCAAAAGTCAAGTAATGTATCTATGTTTGTTCTAGCATTGGAATACATTTAAGCCTTATATTTAAAACTTGCACAATTAAATTACTGAAATGCAACCTAATAATAATCAAACAAAATTAATGCTCTGTGAAGATACATCATTTCCAAATTTAACAACATCTCTACTAATTACAAAGGTGTTTGGATTAGAAGACACCCCCAAAAAAGTTCAAAGAGATATTCAATAGTACTAAAAGTATCTTCTTACCTTTATGAAAGATTGAGATTATAAGTGTCTTACACCAATATTATATGTAAAATAAATGAAAAACATTTTAAATAAGAAAGACATCCAAATAGGCCACATGAAATGCTCGATAGTAATAAGTCATTGAAACATAATGTTACCCTGAAGTCTAAAACTAATACATAATTAGTAGGAATAATAGTAGTAGTGGCTGTGGGTCTCTGATGTCAGGTTAGTAACCATTAAGCCAGTTCCTTACAAAAGGAGTTCTTTGTGGTTGGTTGTTTCCCTGAGCATGATTCATTTGTGGGATATGTTTACTAACTGTCTCTGTAATATTTGTTTTTTAAAAAAGTTCTTGTATGAAGGTTGTTCTTTCCACCCAAGGTCTAGGCCATGGATGAGATAAACACAAAAAAGAAGAAGAGGTACCCACTTGGTACCTCTTCTCAGCCATTCCTTACTGAATTCTTTAAGATCCAGATCAAGTATTATGTCTTCTGTGTGCCCATCATGACCCATTTCCCAGCCCAAGGCAGAATTATTTTTTCTTAATTTTGGCCTCTTATAACACTGTGCACATCTAGTTATCATATTTTATGACAATTAATTTCTTATATGTGGGTATCCATGGCTATACTTTCATCTAATTGAAGACAAGGATCGTCTGACCTCTGTATTACTAGATCCTGGCATTTAGCAAATCCTTAATAAATATATGCTAAATTAAGTTGAGCCCTGCTGGGTGCAGTGGATCATGCCTGTAACCCCAGCACTTTGGGAGGCCAAGGGAGGCAGATCACTTGAGGCCAGGAGTTTGAGACCAGCATGGCCAACATAGTGAAATCCCATCTCTACCAAAAATACAAAAAAATTAGCCAGGTGTGGTGGCATGTGCCTGTAACCCCAGCTACTCAGGAGGCTGAGGTAGGAGAATCGCTTGAATCCGGGAGGTGGAGGTTGCAGTGAGCAGAGATTGTGCTACTGCACTACAGTCTGGGTGACAGAGAGAGACTCTGTCTCAAAAAGAAAGAAAGAAAAAATTTAGTTGGCCCTTGCAATCCATGATATGCCGCATGTCACAGACCCCCCCAGTCAGACTTATGAGAACCAAGAACTGACCTGTGGAGGTGGAAAGCTAGTATTCATTTTAATTTGTGCATCGGGCTTCAGGTTTCCTGCCAGTCTGCCAAGTTTTTGACCCAGATTCCTTCTCTGAGCCTATGTGCCCAGTCCAACTACAAGTATAATTCC